TACAGGTTATTATTTACTAAAGGAAGCTGGACAGTGGTTTTCTTCTGTATCTTCAAGTCCTAATCCAGATCTAGGCTTTGAGTTACAGGAGTAACTCAAAGATATTGCAGTATCAGATACTGAGAAGGACTGTACAGATAGCGATGAGTACCAGTTTGCAGGGCCATCGCTTTCACCAGTGTTACTGAGTACAGATGCGTTGACACCACTGATGTCTGTTCTGGCATCTACTGAGGTGAAGCCCATGATTCATCAGGAGGTGTCCCCATCACATGAGTATCTAACTTTCTCTGTTGGAGAGTAGCTAAAGGTTGCTTCCTCTACAACAGGGGCTGCCCTTCAGTAGATTTTTGCAGCAGCACTCTGGAGAATAGACCATTTTTAGCCTTTCTACTGCAGAACTATTCTCTCATTACACATCAATGCGTTCATGTCATCTGCTGGGTCCACCCACAAGAGCAAACTGCTAGTTCAGATGGAGGACAGGCTACCAAAACAACTGCAGCACCACATCTTCCATGGGGTTAGCTGTCCCATCATGATACCCAAGGCTTGTTTGTCTGCACTGTAGGAACAGCGCTGTTTCCCTCTCCAGTTGTGAGAGGGACCACAAACACAGCTGACAGCTAAATCCTGTCTTTGAGGAGCATGCCTTGCAACCATGTCTGCAGAATTCTGCTACGCGTAACTTGGAGAACTGAGCCTGGATCACGGGGATTTTTTGCTGCATAATCATAGCAAAGATGGCTTAAAATGGAAAAAAGCATTTATTATATACACAAGTACTTTTAATCAGACCTCAAACTAATTTCAGAAATGTGCTGTCACATTTCACAGATGCAAGACATTCTAAAATAGCTGAGACCAAACTTGAGCACGTTACTGGCTTCATCTTAAAACACTGTGCATTTCGCTTATTCAAGAAATTAGGTGATCCTCTTCTACCCAAAATTTTAGACCTCAAGCCCATATCATCATCTTGGTTTAGAGCTGTAATATCCTAGTAGAAATCACAATATTTTTAAGTTGGTTAGTACAGATCATGGTAGAAATTTAATAGAGGAACTACAACATTTTTTGAAGAAATCAAAGCTCATTACAAGAGGATCACATACATCACTATTAAATTACACTACTTCTATCTTCCACCCCAAAAAATAATCCTCCTTAATAATAGCATAAAAGTCCGTTTGTTTTAGAAAAGCATACATAAAACAACATTGGTACATTTTACTTCAAAAGACTTTGTTGTCTCAGCTCTCTAGCAATACTCCAATATAGGTTAAGACTTGTTCATAAAGAGACCAATCACAGGCATGTAGCAAACATTAGAAAGGCATGCCAAGTACAAATCCTCTTTTAAGTTTTTTTTTTTAATGTAAACTGGAAACAGTAGGCATGAAGCATCTGTACAGCAAACATAAAACAACTATGTCATTTTTCCCTTATTCATCTCAAGAGCTTTTGATCTTGCAATGGAAAGTAACCTTCATGTTGTCACGCATGGGGGACACATTACTAACTAAACTGAGTACAGATGTATGGAGAGTCTTAGGAGGAAGGCAGACTCTTAATACTTAAATACACATGACCCTCTAAGGCCTAGTGGCAGTAGCACACTAATTAGAGGCACATTCAGTGACACTAATCAACACTGAACACACCAAAAGTGACAGCAACCCCTACGATGTCCCAGAGTAATGTATAGAAAGGCCCCCTGCATTCTTTAACTGGCTAAATACCAATCTTGTACATGCTTTCACACAGCACAAGGAACTACTAAGCCATTTTAAACAAGGGTGTAACACATGGATCCTGTACACTAGAACCTTCCAGAAGGATTAAGGACAAGACAATTGCTGACTGGAACTCAACGTACATCTGTCCATATGCATCTTTAGGGCAACTGGAGGATGGCAGAATAGGACAAAACGCAGAGCTCTGCTTAACTATTTTTTCAAATATTTAAAACTTAAGCTTTAACAACTCTTCACAATTTTAAGTTTTACAATGGCTTTAGATACATTTAGAACCTTAAATGCCAAGCTCTCAAGGAAGTTTAATTAGCATTTTTAAAGATACAGAGACAGAAATAGCGATTTTATAGAGGTCTTGTAGTCCAGGTGAATCTAAGTTAATAAAAACAGACTTAAGATATAAACTTATTTGCTACGGTGGGTTTTTTTTGTGGGGTTCCCTCCTCCCTCTCCAAAAAAGTTCTCCAGAACAAAATGCTTTTCATTTAGGCTGCACAAGAATGTAGTGCAGGAAGTAAGGTTTAAGCAAAACTACTGAACCAATGAACAGTATGCACACACAATCTAGGCACTATTCTTTTCAAAGGTTCTTTCACTTGAGAAAATTATTGCTCATCTGCCCATAGCTGTGCTCTTCACGCTCATATCTGAAACACATGGTCAAATTTAGCAGACCACAGGTAAAGGTCAAGGGTCTGATAATTCACACAAGAGGAAGCGGGCAGCTTACAGACTTAAATTACGAAATCTCATCCTCTACAAATAAGGACTGCTACCACCATTTGGGAAGTGATGGTTTCATTGTTCATAGCTGCATTAAGTAGATGTAGGCTCTGAACAGACAATTCAATTAATTTATTTATGCAACACCTCCAATGTATCAGCTAAAAGAATCAGCTACAACAGCCTAATGTAACTATGCACAGCAAGCTGTGAATTTGAAACAGCAGTTCCCACATCCAATTGCAGCTTGCAGTTAAGCCTAGCTATCACTAAGGCAGCAATGTTGATTTGGAGATCTGAAAGACACAGACTTCACAACATTCCAACAAAAAGAAGCTACCACTCTTTGCAGTCTGAGCTTGCCCAGTCTCAAGTCCTAGTAGCGCATTTTAAAAGTGTTTTCTACTATTAGCTCCCTTTTACTGCCTTGACAATCATAGGCCACATCCTTGACCATTTTTTAACCTATTTTGGAAGATGGAAAGACTGAAACCTGCCTTCACTGTGCAAACAGGTTTTCATGGCAGTAATTTAAACAGTCCTTTCCCAAAGTCTTTCATGTTTTTCAGCATTCGTGAAACATGGATAGGTATTCCCAACAGGCTGAGCTTTGACAAAGAAGCATCAGTGTAAGATGATAAAACATGAAATTCTTGAAGCCTTTCCCCTAGAACATGCAAAGGCTAGTTACAATCTTATCGAGACACCATTCTAGTTTAAAACACTTCAAGGACAAAAATTTCTGCTTTCCTTCTAGGAAGAATAAATTATTTGTTGCCACAACAAATGTCATCTATTTAAACTTCAAATGTGTTACTTCTTATACCCTCTCCTTTTAATTTTGCCCTTCAAAGGTCAAAACACAAGCAGCTCCACAAGAGCATAAAAAGCAAGCCGCCTATCAACTGCGAGGTTCCTCCTATCAGAAAGGACTTTTAAATCAGGAGGAAAAAAACAAAGGTTTTCATATTTATTCCAAGCAGAATGACTATGGAGAAATGACTCAAGCTTAGGTAGTAAAAGTTAATGGAATGCCATCAGAAATGAAGACTGACTCAGTAACACATGAGACTTGCTTACCATTCGTTCATTTCTAATTCAAAAACCCACTAGCAGTACTCATGTAATACCAGTGAAATAGGAGAAGATACTGCTTGTTTTTCCTCTTGGGCAGGAGAACAAGCTTTAAATGAGAACGCCATTTTTTCTGGCATTTGATAAAATTAAAATCACTAAGTGCTATGTACCCCCAAAGGATTAATTATTTCAGCGTCTATGAATCAGGACTAGGTAAGCTTGCAGTATAATGATTTTATTCTGCTAATGTGCAAGACTTGCATAAGACTTATTCTTTGGATTTTCGTTCTGCATGCTGGTATTTCATGTTTTGCAGCAGGCTCTCCCTCCTCCTCCTCCTGAACACATTATACCTTAACAGTAAAGAATCCTTTTTCAAGAACAGTTAACATCTGTAACACCAGGCAGAATTTGTGAAGATTGAGAAACTGGTTTCTTACAGGTGGAATTGTCTAGACCAGACAGAGAAAGAAATTGTCATATGAATGCTCTGTAATGCTCCCCTAATTGTTGTTAGTGCCATAAAGGTTCATATCTGAATTCAGAAATCTGGAAAAAAAAAAAAAAAAGGTTCAAGTGAGTTAAAACTGAGCATTTCTGTTTAGCAAGGCAAGTCTGAACAGGAAACAAAGTATAGGCACAAATGGTACTAAGTAATATAGTTAAGTAATATAGTTTTTTGCCTATTCTTGATGTTTACATATGTAGGCATCAGTGTTTTTTCTGAATAGGTTATTAATAAGTCTTAGCAGTAAAGAAACATTTCTTTCTTCCTTTCCAGAGGATATATGACATTACAAGGTTTTTTTAAACTTTTCCAGCTCAGCATGTTTTGAATTGTTTCAGAGAAAATTTCCATGTCTATCTCACAAGGAAGGTAACATTTGCATGTTTCACCAAATGAAGTAATTTCATTCTGTAAAGAGACATGTCTTAAAAGCAGAATACCAAATGCCTACAGCTAACTAAAACTAGATGAAAAGCATGGTGGAACAAACCTGTTATAACTTCAGATGACAGTGAGTGAACTGCCTGCTAGAAAAGTAGCCTAAATCAGCTTTCTGTAGTAACACCCAAACCCCATTACAAAACCTGCCATATTGACCGCTAGTCACAGCAAAACTTTTCACACCGGGAAAAAAAAAAAAAAGGTTAGTGTAGAGCCTGTTCCCTTCCTTACTTCTGCAGTTAACACTACCAGCTAATTAAAGCACTCTGCTTGCCAACATTAAATGCAGTCATGGCACAAGCCAACTCAATGTCTTTCCCCTTCACTCAGTGACAGAAGACACAAAATCCCATGCACTTCCTTCAAATGTTTTGGGAGTACTACGTAAGACCTAGATGTTTAACATGTTCTCAGTAATAGCAGCCTTAAGGAGTTCAGCTTATTTTAGTCTTACTATGCTTAACACTAATATTTCGTAGTCACTGCAGTAAATTTTAGAGAAGATCCAGTTATTTCCTCAGCAAACAATTTATATCTTATCATGCTGCTACTAAGATACACCTACACAAAAGACTTTAAAGCTCTAGTCTTACAGCTACAGGATAAGATCACATCAAGCTAATCTAGCGATTAATTAGCCAATACTTCATCATGTAGATTTTCAAATTTATTCAATGAGCAGTGAGCTACACTTGCCACAAAACATTTTAGCCATTCTAAAGAAGGCTAAAGGTTGCTGTGCTAGTTTAAAACTTAAGCTAAAGCATTTCAGATATCCCAGAAAAATGCATGAATAAACTTTTATTTCTAAGCAACAACACACACTATTTTAATACAACCCACACATTTAAGTCAGGTGGAGAGTAGTTAACTGAACAATCATTGCTAAAACATTTCCATTGGAAATGCGTTGAAGTTCACAAGTGTCTTCATTACCACCTTACTGAAGTTTTCTTATGTGTTTCTAGTCTACACACCACATGTTTCACGCAGTCATGCAAATCTGAATCAAATTTTAAATGTTCAGGTAACAGGGAAGTCCATTCACTGCAAAGATTCATTTTTCACAGAAGAGTCAGGCTAGGTGAGACCAAATACTGCAGGGTTCTTCATGAGAGTACAGGTGTTTTAGAAACCATGAACTTTCAGTTGTTCTTCCTTGACAATGCCAATCTAAAGGAGAAAAGCAACATATTTCAGTAAAGCTTACATGCTTAGGATATTACAGTGATATCAAGTTACTATAATCTTACACTTTGATTAAAGAAACTGCAGTACAGTATACACTCAATAAAGCATTCTCATTTCCAGAATGTTTCTGGGCCAACAAGAAGAACTGACTACACAAAAAAGAAAATCTTGTCAGACATCTGACTTGTTCTGTAGTCCTAGTGCTTACTCTTTGACAGTGTAACAACTCTACATCATGATTTGCATCAGTAAGCTAGTGGTGAAAGACTCTTTCGTCTATAGTGTTTTCAGTCTCAAAATTATGGTTTGCATCAAACATTTCATTTCTGAAATGAAGAACTCGAGTTGCACTGCCAGAGAACAAGTGGTATGCTGTAGCAGGGTAAATGCATTCTACAGTGCTTTGATTCTTACCGGAGTTTTCCTCTAATTCTGCAAGTGTCATTTTACTTTTTGGCTGAAAATACAAAGGAACTATAGTGGACATCTTTAGCTGGTTAATTAACATCAGTGCTACCTGTCACACTATTGCTTCCAGAGAGGTTTAGATATTTATCTGCAGTCCCTCACCTCCAAGAGGAATTGGCAAATGTTCTTCCTCTGGTCACCTTGAAGCTGGATAACTTCACCGTATTCAGGATGTTCAATCACAGTACCATTACAAGCAAATTTCTAGAGAGAAACATTCATATTGTGAAGCATCTGATGTACATTATGATTTGGCTTAGTACGTCTTTTCAGCAGAATTTTGTCACAGAAGCTGCTTACTAAAATTCTGATGCCAAGCAAGGCAAAGGCTAGATCGATTTTACACCGGTTTTGAGAGCAAATGGAATATATCTGCTGATGCATACAGACACAAACTAAGCTGCTGATGGTAAATTTGGGCAAAGACAGCATTAGTTACTATGCAGAAGGAACTGGCCAACACTCATTACAAGAATGGAAAACAAAGTCATAAGATACAGCCTTTCAACTCCACACTATTTTAAAATAAATATTTTCATCCTGGTGAAACTCAAGATCTCTATTTCAACAGCAACCCAGCTATGACAGAAGCAGGGATGCAAAAACTGTTCTACTTTAAACTGATTATATTCTTCACATCAACAAAGCTAGATATCTGTGAAATTTTAATGAAACATTCAGAATTTATTTTACTTACTTCTTTATAGGAAAGAAACGTTTAACTTTTTAGCAAAAAGCAGTGTCACTAGACACTGACAGAAGTTTTGAGAAAGACAGGGAAAGGGATCAACCCAAATATGAAAGTGATGTGCACTGGCAAGAATGAAATAAAACAAATACTCTGTTACTTAGTATTAAAAGCTATCATACTTCTTTATATAATATCTTTATTATTAAATCAAATCAGCAACTTCACCTTTTTGAAAGCTTTCACAAGTTTCTTCTTGTCATAATCATCTGCAATTCCCTGAACAGTTGTTAGTGTCTTTCTTCCGTTTCGTTGCTGGATCCTTATATGAATGTAATCTTCAGTCCCCGCCGGGAGTAAGTCGTCACCCTTCGTTGCATCAGCAAAGGGGTCTGCAGGAGGAAAGAGGTTCATGTGATTCCCACAAAGGAAAACACCCAAGCTCAAAAAGTAACAGCAAGTTTCTCACTTCACAAAGAGCTTTATTTAGGGGTTAATCTCGCTGTTTTCTCCCTGTTTAAAAATACACTATTAAAATCCGAGTACTTTTTTCTACAGCTGTATTAAGCCTCACTAGCCTACTAACAGCACAGTGTTCTCAACTATCACACATCCAGTTTCCCTTCTCGGATATAAACAATTTTCAGCTACAGTATCAATTTACTGCACTATTTCTTGCAAACTGTAAATCCTGAAGCTCTGAACCTGAAAACAAGGTTCCACAAAAACATCAAGTGCATGTAAGATTTAGACAGCCACATGCATTAAGTGAAATACGGAAGTCGTATCTTTTATCAGATCAACTGGTAAGTACAGAGAAATAAAAAAAGCTCTTGTACACACACTCCTTTACAGATCCAGAACGGAAGTCTTACACCATGTCAACTACCACATTACCATCATTTTAAGGCATGAATGTAATTCTTGGCTACTAATGTAAACAAAACACCAGAACAGACACTACTAACAGGCTATCTGTAAACCAGCACCCCTCTGCCAGTCAGTAGTTTTAGGCAAGTATTGTAACAAAATTAATTTAGGCTTTGTCCACAGAAAGGTCAGTTCTCAAATTCTTCCAAGCTTAAATTTAGCTAGCACAGGTGGAACAGGAAGAAGAAGGGTTTCTGGGTTATACTTCTTACTCTCTTTTCTCCACAAAAATGTCTTTAACACTCACTCTAACAAGAAATGTGATAGCCCTACAAGTTTCCTAATCAGTAGCTCCAATTAATACTTAAAGTACTTCATGCTTCAAGATTTTTTTAAAAACAAATAATAAGTAATTTTTTGGTACTAATCATAATCATATTGTAGAGTCCAGTCTTCAGAAAATGTAGGTTCAACAGCCATGCAAGCTACAATTTCCCAAACTTCCATCCAAAACTCAAACCTAGAAACACAGATCGAGTTTTGCCATCCACTCAAATTCCCCAAAAGAGTAAAACTTCAGCAGAAATAGGAACAGAAGTAGTTCAGCTGCAGACAGCCTGACCCTTGCAGAAACAAGGACAAGAGCACTAAAGGCACTGAAAGCATCATGAGGATGCAAGCACCACGGGAAAGAAGCACAGCACTGGGAAGCTCGACTGGTTTAATTTCTAGTAAGGCATTTGTTAAAATATGCCGAATTTCACTGTGCCTCACAGCTTGTGGGGCAAACACTAAAAGAAAATTTCAGTCAAAGAAAAAGTGAAAGAAAAAGGGGACTCGGGCATGAAGATCACTTGGCAGAGTTTAGGATTCTAGGCTGGAGATAAGCCAGCGCTGTATGTGCTAACATTGGATTGCTTCAAACAAATCCTTTGGGCAGCACCTTCCTAAGCACAGGATCAGCTCCCAAACTGTGATTAACATAACCTTCTCATAAGGCTTATATGTGCAGAAGATTAGAGACAAAACTGAGACCAAAAGCCTGACAGCATTATCATGAAGTGTTAACTTGCTCGCTTCTGTTGCCTATAGATAAGGAAAGTGGAGAACCGTGGCCCAGCAAGGTAAACTTCCCTGGTAATACAAGAGAAATGACCTACCACATGTATAGCTCAATCTATAGAAACAATACCCTTTGCAGGGCATGTAATCAGGTTTTGGGACGTTAGCAAGGCAGCAAATCAACAAGCAACTGGAACCGAGGAGATGACTGCCTTCCTTAGCAGAGGATACGAACCCTAGACTTCCCCTGCCCAGAAAGATTACAACTTTGGGACTGCAGAGTTGACAGAGAAGCCCAGTTTGGGGTGCTACCAGACATTCAGGCCAACAGCGCAGTACGGGGTGTCAGGGCACAGGACACGGCAGCATCCCCTACGGCAGGAGGGGACAGGGAGCCAACATCGCCTCCTACCCGATGCCTCCCCGCCGCGCACACAGCCGGCACCACGGGAGGGCAAGGACGAGCCCTCAGAGCCGCCTTTACAGCGCAACGCGGGACAGCAACGCGCCGGGGATGGCAACGCCCGCCCAGCAATGTCACCGCGGGGGCACCGGGGGCCCTCGGGGAAGCGGGGGCA